TTTTTTTTTAGCAACCCTCAGGTTATTCTCCTGCTTGTCTTGTCATTGTCTTCCATGCCATTAGAAGTGTGGAATTTTCTGCTACCTTGCCAGGCTTTAGAAGTAAAGTGAACCTTGAAGAGGGCACTTGTTGGGATGAGCACTGGGTGTTGTATGGAAGCCAATTTGACAATAAACTATATTTAAAATAAATTAAAAATACTAAAAAAAAAAAAAAAAAGTAAACTGAACCGCATATCTAGCAGCCCAGTGATGGGTAAGACCTTCTTCTCTCATTCGTTTTACACAGAGCTTTGAAGAAGCTCTGAGCTATCCTGGGAGTTTTTTCTGAATCACTATATGATGAGTACTGGTTCAGAGGGGCTCCTGGGGCTCCTAAGAAGGAGGTAGTGGTTCTGGCTTCTCTCCTAGGGTTTTTTCTGTGCTGCTTCTGAAGAACAGATTCATAGACTCTCAGGGTTGAAAGAACTCTTGCTACCACTTAACTAGCTGAATACCTTCAATCACACCCCTGGGATGTGTCTCTCAGTCTGTCCTTGAATATCCCTGGTGATAAAGAATTTACTTCTACTGAGAGTTAGTCCATTTTATCTGTGGATCACTCTGATCAGAGTTTTCCCAGTTACCAAATTGTTCACCTCTTTTATTAAACAGAACAGATGGGGAACTGTATAAGAAATAGCTAAACTCCACAGCCAGAAGTGCATGCTACTACAAAAGCAGCCAGTCTGGTCATGGCTCTCAGTCAAACTGGTGTAAACCCAATCCTCATTGAGGTCTTGGAGGTAGAGGGATTCTAGAACTATGTTTTGATTCATTAATCTCCAGTCTCCAAAGATCTGTCCTTCATAGCCTGTGAAAACTTGTAACATCCTTTGTTTGCTTCAATGCTATGCTTTATATCAAATAATTTTTTTCTTCTAAAATATGTAACTACTAGGTAAGATTAACAGTCCATATTTGTCTAGATATGAAACACCTTTTGTTTTTATAAAGGTACATTGTTTTCAGAGGCCCTAAAATCATAACTTACTTCTAGAATAAGCTCAAAATATCAAGTTCTATTGAGTGAATTTTCTTTAGCATGACATAGTTCTCAGTTATTGTTCATATTCCTTATGGTAGTCTCTGCTGTCTGGTGTTTTAGAGGTTGATGTTATAAAAAATTTAACTATATAACTTTTCTAATGGCCACTGTGATTTAGTATTCTCATTTCTTAAAATTCAGACATCCTTACATTTTTCCTGACAGTTCCTAAAGGTTGTCATCATAAAGTCACATGCATTTAGGTAGTATTTTATTTTTCATAATGCTACAGTATAATCCATGCTATTCATTGCAGTTCTGTTTTGTTTTGTTTTGTTTTGCTTTGTTTTTAATATGTGTTTTTGGGAGAGTACAGTGGAGGAGGGGCAGAGAGAGGGGACAGAGGATCCAAAGTGGGCTCTGCTGATAGGCTGACAGCAGTGCTGAGTGACAGCGGGGCTCAAACTCACTAACTGCAAGATCATGACGTGAGCCAAAGTCAGATGCTCAACCAACTGAGCCACCTAGGTGTCCTGTAATTTTGATGTAATGGTTACATAGATAACTAATATATAACTACTGTCATCTCTAATCTTTGTTTTAAGTTTTCCATTTAAATATTTAACACTCTGGGGGTGCCTGGATGGCTTAGTCGCTTGAGCATCTAACTCTTGATTTCGGCTTAGGTCATGATCTCATGGTTTGTGAGTTCGAGGCCCACATTGAGCTCTACACTGACAGCACTAAACCTGCTTGGGGTTCTCTCCCTTTCTCGCTCCCCCTCTCTTAAAATAAATAAATAAACTTTAAAAAGAAGTTATTTTTGTAATAGTTTAGTTTTTATCACTTTAAACTTGATAATTCCTGGTGTGTAAGCCATTATTTGCTAGGGCTTTAGAGATAAATTATAGTTTTGCAGGCATAAGGATAACACTGTCATTCTCCCCACTCTTTCTGCCCTTCCCCCTTTCTTAATCTGACCTTGTAGGTTTTTTCTCAAGTATAGATTTTTTTTTTTTTTTTTTTTAGGTAGTAGCACATAAATGTAAGACATATTGCTTAGGCTGTGGATCATCCTTGGTATTCACATGGAGTAGCTGACATCTTGGCATCATTCAGCATTCCAAAGATTAGGAGCCACTGCTCTGTCACAATTCTTAGTTTTCCAGGATTACCTGACAAACTCAGGGAAAGGAACAGGATGAGCCCAGAGAAATCTCTCAGGAGCTGAAATCATGCCATGTAGCCCATGGCAAGCCTGAGGTATCTTTGAAAACCCACAGAACCACCAGAGAAAGGGATTGAATGGAATCCTTTTTACATCTTTTGATTCCCCATGAAGGACACCAGGATTTAACTCAGTGAATCCCAAGGGACTACAGGAAACCTTTGATTTATAATCTAATTGATTTCTAGAGGAAAGTGGAAAGTTGAGATCACTCTCTTGTTTTTCTTGTCACATTATTATAAACTAGGGTTCTGTCCCTGGAAACTACAGATCTTCCCTGACTTACAGCAGGGTTACATCCTGATAAGACATTTTCAACTTATGATAGGTTTAAGTGAAAAATGCATTTAACATTCCAAACCTAGCAAATGTCATAGCTTAGCCAAGCTTGCCTTGAACGTGCTTAGAACACTTACATTAGACTACAGATGGGCAAAATCATCTAACACAAAGCCTATTTTATAATAAAGTGTTGAATATGCCTGTAATTTATTGAACACTGTACTGGAAATGAGAGAAAGAGAATGGTTGTGTTGGTACAGATGGTTGTAAGTGTATTGGTGGTTTGCCCTCTCCATCATGTGGCAGACTGGGCCCTGGAGCTCACTGCAGCTGTGCAGCGTCACGAGAGGACCCTACCATATTGCTGGTCTGGGACCAGATCAAAAGCCAAATCACTTTCACGCCATCGTCAAGTCAAAAAATAGTAAGCTGATGAGGGGCTGTCTGTTCCAATATTTTATATATTCCATATATATTCCAATCCATATATTATTAATATATATGTTGCATATTATTATTTTACTTACATTTTTATAAACATATACTAAAGTATGTAATAACAGTTTTTATAGCTGCAATGAAAGAAAGCAGGCATGAGGTAGTAGTGGTTAAGGAACCAGATTCTGGAGCCAGACTGTAGATTCAAATTCCAACTTCATTCTTTACTGGCTGGGTAATCTTGGGCAAGTTACTTAACATCTCTATGCTTCAGTTATCTTTAAAATGGTAGTAACAGTTTCCGCCTTATAGAGCTGCTCTGAGGATAGAATGATTTAATGTGTAGAAAGTACTTAGAACTGGCAATGTCTGACATTGTTAGTAAGTGTTCACTGTTATTTTATATGTTGCACATGGTCATTTTAGGGAATATTTTCTGAATGGTCTTAAAATACCAACTCAATAAAGTTGGCTTTGAAGGCTGCTGCTTTTCCAGATAAGCCTTCCTGATGCTAGAAATGGGCATTCTTCGGCATTTCCTTCAAGGCTATTCATAATCTGGCTCCAGTCCTTTCTTTTGCACGCTTTCTCTATACAGGTTCTCTACTCAGGTTGCACTTTCTCTCTCCTGGTTCTGCTCAATGCCTACCTCCTTTAAAAAAAAAAAATTGTTTTCAGTATAGTTGTCCCACAATGTTACATTAGTTCCTGTGTACAACATAATGATTCAGATTTTCTATGCTGTGCTCATAAGTGTAGCTACCATCTATCCCTAAACAACGCTATCAGAATATCATTGACTATATTCCCTATGCTCTGCCTTTTATTCCCTTATTTATTCCATAACTGAAAGCCTGTATTTCCCACTCTCCTTCACAAATTTTGCCCATCTCCCAGCCCCCTTGCCTCTGACAACCACCAATTTGTTCTTTGTATTTAGAGGTCTGACTCTTTTTGTGTATTTCAATGCCTACCTCTTTTGCAAAATTTTACCACTGTTATCTGAAAAATGTTGGAATGTATTAAATGCTGTAGTGTTCTATTTGTTTTGAAGATGATTTATGAATCACGAACCCTTTGAGACCAGGGTCTATGCCATAGTACAATTCTGTATCCCCTGTCACTTAATACAGTGTAGCAAGTACTTAAAGTATGTGTTATTTAATTGGATTACACAACAAATTGAATTTGTGTGTGTACATTTGCACGAGTGTTCAACTCGTGTAACAGGTTAACACTTTTGAAACTTAACTGTTTCACAAACTTGGAGCACTTGTGAGAAATTTAAAAATTACTACAAATAAGTGAGAACACCTGCATATCAAATTGTTTGGAACTGCATAGTAACAATAACAACAACAAAATTCACACTTTATATATTGTAATTTGGGCCTGCATCTGCTGCGATAATTATAACATTTCTCCTTTTGAAACTACTAATACTGTAAGGCATAGGCAGAGAAGGACTCCAGAGCTCTGAGCTCTGAATGTCCACAGCACAGATGGGTTGTAAGAATAAGGAACTAGATAAGAAAGGGACAAAGGAGACAAAGGGAGAAACATGTATTTGAATTTGCATCCTTAATATTTAATAATAGTAATAAAACAGCTAAACAATATGACATAATAAGACCTTTTAACCTTTTGGTTATTGGTGAAATTTTGGGTATAAAAACTGTTGCACTTATCTGAAAAATATAAGATATCTAAATATCTATAGGATTATAAATTTATTCCTAAATCTTTAGACATTTTAACTGAAATTGACATAAAAATAATTTTATGCTATAATTTCAACCATCTTTGTCTTAACTGAAATTTGGAATTATCCATTCTCTCCTTACCTTGTATACCTTGTGAATCAAGAGTTTACTGTATTTTAATTGCCTGATTTTTACCCCCCTTTCACTCTTTGTTACTGAATATACTTGAATATAGATTGTGACATTAGGTATTTTAGGTGTAAACGGTGAGTTCTTAACAAGAATACATTAAATTAGAGACTCATTTTTTTTTTTAAACCAGATACTCTAGATGAATATTTTGAATATGATGCAGAGGAGTTCTTGGTCTCTTTGGCCTTGTTAATAACAGAAGGACGAACACCTGAATGTTCTGTAAAAGGTCGCACAGAAAGTTTCCATTGCCCTCCAGCACAGTCCTGTTACCCAGTAACTTCCAAACATGAATGTAGTGACAAGCTGGCTCAGGTGAGAATTGTGTATTGAGTATATTTTCTTTTTCTTTCATATAAACTAGTTTAAATTCTGTGATCACTTTTGTTACATGACAATTAAAATGTTCACACTTAAGTTTAAAATCACTTATAACTACAATAAAAAAAATCCTAATCTTGGACCATAGCTAATACCCCTAACTCTTAAGCGATGCTCTTAAAGTCACAGTAGGTACCTTTGCAGATCAGCATGCAGGGTGACAGCCAAAATCATACCTGCCTTCTTACTCGCCAGATTTAAGATAATTGTTGCTATTGATCTTGTGTTTATTTGGTAGAATTATTTTCATGATTATTTTCTTCAGATTAACCAATTTCCCTTTTATATTCCTTTCTTTTTTCCTACTGGAGGATACTTTTTGCTATCATAGTAGTATTTTTATATAATGTTAAAAATAGTTATTTTGATAGGTACTGTATAATTTGCTATAGGGATTTTCCCAACAGTTTCTTAAATGTAGTCCAAAATTTTACATTTTTAAAATCTTGTCTATTTTGAGCATTTAATGAAAATGAGATTTTAATATTTTGGTTTTTACTTAGAATGAATCTTTATTTTGTAACAATGACATAGTTAACAAACTAGGCTGGGCCACCTCAAGGCCTGTCAGACGTGGTGTATGACAGTTATTTTTCCACAAAATAGAGCAGAAATATCCCCCTCCCCAAGAAACTTTGCATCATAAATGTTCAGTACTAATCCTTGTACTCTAGAACTCACTAGTGTTAATCCACTATTTAATGAGGAAATCTAAATAAGCTTAAGCAAAGATCTACAGTTGACTCATTTCTCATATAGATGTCTATTTTACAATTATAATTTTAAACTGTAAATATAAAATGCCTTGGGTTATTGAGGTATTTCGCTTACATTCATTTTCTCTTAAGTGTCGCCAAGCCAGAAGAACTAGGTCTGAGGTCTTACTGTTGTGGAAGAATAACCTTCCAATCATGGTGGAAGTGATGTTACTCCCAGATTGCTGCTACAGTGATGATGGGCCCACCACAGATGGAATTGATCTCAATGATCCTGCAATTAAGCAAGATGCATTATTATTAGAAAGATGGATATTGGAGCCAGTTCCTCGACAGTAAGTAGTTGAACTGAGTTTCAAGTTGTTCTTGCTAAGTCAGGTTTTCCATTGCTTCTATAAATTATTTTAGTAATGTATCATGTCTTTGACTCTAATGATGTAGTAAAATTTAGACATTTAGTTCTTCTCCGACTTCAAGTGACACTAGTAAATACACTTCGATACTCTTGAAAGCACATATCCAGAATATATTTATTTTAGCTTCTGTATTTCTAAAGTTCAATCATTTTGTACTTGCTGACATTTAAATGATACTTTTTACTTCCCTTAGGAGTGGTGATCGATTTATTGAAGAGAAGACTCTTCTATTGGCTGTCCGCTCATTTGTGTTTTTTTCTCAATTAAGTGCTTGGCTGAGTGTTTCCCATGGTGCTATTCCACGAAATATTCTTTACAGGTATGTCTTGGGCAAAATAAGGACAGTGTGTATTTAACCTTGTTGGTTAGCTACTGAATGATATTTTACCTTTTAAGCAGTTTATTTCCTTCATTTCTAAATGTAAGTGGATAAAATTTACTGAAGATTTTCTCAAAACAAGTTAGAGAATTTAAATGCAAATCAGTATGAATTTTACTTTATTTCTTTTTAATTTGCTTTTTATTTTTTTAATGTTTGTTTACTTTTGAGAGAGAGGGAGACACAGAATCAGAAACAGGCTCCAGCTCTGAGCTGTCAGCACACAGCCCAACGTGGGGTTTGAATTCCCAAGCGGTGAGATCATGACCTGAGCTGCAGTCAGATGCTTAACCAATTGAGCCACCCAAGCACCTCCGGCATAGAATGGTTTTCAGAGAGCTTTTTAGCTTTAAAGAACCCCCAATGGGCTTATGTATAAAAACTTTCTGGGCTGCCGAATTTCCATAATGGTAGACTTATTTAATTTTTGCATCTTGAAAACTGTAAATTTACAGGCTGCTGACCAAGTGTCTAATTGTTTCTTTAGGCAGTTGGCCCTGAGATTGAGTATCTCTTAATCACCTTGTACAACAGAATTAGCTAAATCCATTTATTTAGAGTAAATGTCATTTTTTTTTGTTTTAAGAAATAATTCTAAATTATAGTATTCTTGAGCTTTAATGCCTAAGTAGTCTAGTGTTCGTAAAAAGATCATCTCTAGACTCTTTCCATAATGTCCATCAACTGATGAATGGATAAAGAAATTGTGATTTATATACACAATGGAATACTACGTGGCAGTGAGAAAGAATGAAATATGGCCTTTTGTAGCAATGTGGATGGAACTGGAGGGTGTTATGCTAAGTGAAGTAAGTCATACAGAGAAAGACAGATACCATATGTTTTCGCTCTTATGTGGATCCTGAGAGACTGAACAGAAGACCATTTGGGAGGGGAAGGAAAAAAATAAAAGATTAGAGAGGGAGGGAGCCAAAACATAAGAGACTCTTAAAAACTGAGAACAAACTGAGGGTTGATGGGGGGTGGGAGGGTGGGGAGCGTGGGTGATGGGTATTGAGGAGGGCACCTGTTGAGATGAGCACTGGATGTTGTATGGAAACCAATTTGACAATAAATTTCAGATAAAAAAAATCATCTCTATTCTAAGCATAAACTATTGTGCTTTTTATGTTGGTTTTATCAGAATGACATGCATGGTAAAGTAGCTGAAAGTAAACCATTAATAGTAATTAATGCAAATAAAGAGAAGTATGTAACTGTTGAAAATTTTTTATAATATATGATAATGTTATAAGCATTACAATGCATTGATTCTGTATATTTCTATATGATTCTAGAATCAGTGCTGCTGATGTAGACCTGCAGTGGAATTTTTCACAGACCCCGATTGAACATGTGTTTCCTGTTCCTAATGTTTCTCACAATGTGGCCTTGAAAGTCAGCGTTCAGTCCTTGCCCAGACAATCTAATTATCCAGTTTTGACCTGTAGTATTCACACTAATATTGGCCTTTATGAGAAAAGAATTCAAGAACATGAACTTAAAGTCCATCAGCATCGCAATTCTAGTGAAGTAGAACAATGTAGTACAAATAGTTCACAGCGTCTGTGTAGCAAACAATCTTGGACCATGGCACCTGAAAGCATATTGCATGCAAAAAATGGCACAACTCCAGAATATACTGCAGCTGTCAAAAATGTCAAACTGTATCCAGGCACTGGCAGTAAATCTGACTATGGAACACGTCAAGCCAATATTCTGGGCTTCAGTGGTAGAGGAGATAAAAAGTCACATGAAACACCAGTGAGAACTTTAAAATCATTTTCAGTGATTGATTCCAGGGTCTCTAGCCACCAGAGTTCCTGGCAGTCAGTTGGTGAGACTAATCCTTTAATAGGCTCTTTAATTCAGGAGCGACAAGAAGTTATTGCAAGAATTGCTCAGCATTTGATTCATTGTGATCCAAGCACTTCCCCTGTTTCTGGACATCCATTTAATATGCAAGAGTCTAGTTCACTTAATTCAAAACTTTTCCGGGTTTCAAAAGAAAATGAAAATGTGAGAAAATGTAAAGAAACTTTGTCCATTTCCTTTGGTAGTCCTGAGCTTACCTCCTCAGAAGACACCAGTGAGGGAAAAATTCAAGTAAAACCAGATACTCCTCGAAGTGAAACTGGCAGTTCCAATGGTCTTTATTCTCGTCAGTCTGTTGGTGAGACAAATCCTTTGATTGGCTCTTTACTCCAGGAGCGACAAGATGTTATTGCAAGGATTGCTCAACACTTGGAGCATATTGATCCAACTGCATCACATATACCCCGGCAGTCATTCAACATGCATGACTCCAATTCGGTTCCTTCGAAAGTATTTAGGAGTACATATGAAGACAACAATTTGTGGAAGAAAAACAAGGATGTTACCTCTGTTTCCATTTCCAATACAAAAATTTCCTTGTTAGAAGACAGCAGCGAAGGGGAAAACTTAATACCCAATAAATCATTTAGTTATTTTAAATGTAATGGTAAAGTCGAATCCTCTTTGAAACCTCAAATAAGAAATCTGTATCAGGACAATCCTAGTGAAACCATCCAAAATACTTTTCAAGAGACACAGAACAAAGCCACTAGTTTATTGACTCCCTCAAATATGCCTCACTGCAAAAAAAATAACTTAGATTTGACAGTCAGATTGGAAAATACACTTTCTGAGTGTCAATTTAAGAAGCAAGAAATTAGCAATGAAACTGATAAAAAGTATTCAAATTGCAACAGTATTGACAAACAGATTTGCACAGATAAGTATAAGGAAAAAAGAATAAAAAATGAAAATTCTAATCCAGAATATTTTAAGAATCATGAATTTGATAACTCCAAAAAAGATGACTCAAAAATAAAAGCTACTATGTTGGAAATGTCTGAATATTTGAACAAACATGAAAACAAGTGCTCAAATAAAGACTCAGAAAGGCCTAAGACATGTGAGCAAAATACTCAACTTAATAGTATAGAAAATTATCTCAATAAAGATAATGAAGTTCGCAAATGCAAAAAGCCAGACCTATTAAAAATTGAACAGGATAAGACAGAAGAGATAATTGATGAAAAATCTCAAAACTGTTCTCAGAGAAAGAAAGTAAAAGACTGTTTGTCTACATGTGAACAACTGAAAAATACAGACGTGTTGGTAGGTAACATCTAATATTTCAAATATAATTCTCAAACATTTATCATAGTTTCAATTTTGTTTACAGAAGATCTAGTTATAAAGGCCTAAGGTGCCCATTAATTATAGTAAATACAGTCAGTTCTAATAAACCTGCTACAAAACTAGTATTAACATCCTTGGAAAATAACCTACTTAATTAAGAGCAAATGCTAGGTGAATTCTTCCCATTGCCCTTTTTTTGGTTATTTCAACACTAGACAATTGCTGGAGGGTAATTAGGAGTCAGAAATGAAACTCACATCAGCTTAATGTATCATTTGTTAGTAGCTCTGGCCTAATACAATGCACCCGTTGTAATGCCACTGGTCAGCTAGGGATTTTAGGAATATCTATAGAGAAGTCACGAGGCTGTTTGTTGGTTAGAATGCCTGGGTTCCTGTCCTGACTTCACAATTTTGACCTTAAGTCACTTAACTTCTAAAAACCTCAGTTTCCTCCGTTCTAAAATAAGAATGATAAATCTCTTTTGCCTATCTCAGAGTTGTGACAATCATATAATAGATTTTAAGAAATTTTGTGAATCTTTAATGTACTATATAAATAAAAGATACTTATTTACATTTTATTTAACTTTCTACCAAACCATTTTTTAGCTTTAGAAAATTATTATTAGGCAGAGAGAGGAACACCGAGAATCCAAAGCAGGAACCCAAGCCATTAGTGCAGAGCAGGATATGGGGCTCAAACCCACAAACCAGAGATCATGACCTGAGCCGAAGTCTGACGTTTAACCAACTGAGCCACCCAGGTGCGCCTGGAAAAGTACTTTTTAACTGTCTTGACCTAAATCTGAATGTCCTTAGTTTATCTTCTTTATCAGTAAAATTAGTTCTGCTGGACATAAGAGTTTTAATAATTGTACCATGTTTCCAATTTCTGTTTTTCAATAGAATATCTAACATGGATTGTATCAAATGGTAGTTTGCAATTTTCTAAAACTATAATTGTCACAAAAACAGTTAGCTTTTCATGATCCTTTCTGGTACCTAAAAGGAAAACTTAATTTGGCCACTGTATTTTTCAAGCTACTAATATTCGGTTTTTCATGCTCTTGTTTTAAATATAATCATACAACATTTACTAAGTGCCCAGACACTCTTCTGAATATTTTACACATATTGGCATAGTTAATCCTTCCACTAAACTATGAGAGTAAACTAGAGTAAACTCCAGTTTACAAATGAGGACCCTAGGACTGGAGAGCTTAAGTAACTTGCCCAAGGTCTTACAAAGCTAGTAAGTGGCAGAGCCAGGACCCAAATTAGACTTTTCTGATTTTTATGTGTTGCTATGAATTTCTAGTGTTTGGGTTTAAACTTGACTAAATTCTTAAGAAATAGCTTGTTTCTGTATCACATCAAAAACATGGTACTGCAACTGCATTAGATATATTTTTAAATTCACATTTATTGTATTTCTGTGTCGTGCTCTACCAAATTACATGCTTTGAGAACGACTCTTAATATTAACATAGTTTTATATTTTAGAATACTCTTTTTTCTACCTGTGAGTAGTTGTTTTTTCACAAATTAAAAGTATCAAATATTAGCTTACCAGATGTTAGACTCTGAGTATTTATAAATATGACCATATGTATAAGACGATTATATTTGGACATAGTTTCTTTAGAATATTTGAGTTTATTCAGTACTTTAGAAAAAAACTCTTAGACATTGTTTTATTAAAGTGTATATGTGTGTGTGTGTGTGTGTAGATCTAGATCTGTAGATGATTAGCATTACCACCCAAGATGTAATATCTCAGTACTTATTAGGGATAAGACCAAAATTACTTAAATGTTATCATTAAAATTAATTATTTTCCTAGCAGAAGACTATACCACTGAAACATTCAAGTGTCTGGCGGAAACATAATTTTCATTCCTTAGATGGGACCTCAACCAGAGCTTTTCATCCTCGAACTGGATTGCCTCTTCTCTCAAGTCCTGTAAGGTTTCTTTCTCTTATTTCATATTAATACTTGGAAACATCTAAAATGTTTACAAATTATTTTATCTGAATTGTAATTGAAAAAAATTTAAATGCACTTTTTTATTAAAAAAATTTTTTTAATGTTTTTTATTTTATTTTTGAGAGAGACAGAGACAGAGTGTGAGCTGGGGAGGGGCAGAGAGAGAGAGAGAGAGAGAGAGAGAGAGAGAGAGAGACTCCAAAGCAGGCTCCAGGCTTCGAGCTGTCAGCACAGAGCCTGATGCAGGGCTTGAACCCACAAACCTTGAGATCATGACCTGAGCTGAAGTCAGCTGCTTAACCAACTGAGCCACCCAGGCACCCGAAAAATGTAAATGCCTTTAAAAGGAATTTCCAGCTAGAAACCACTTTTTAATACATTTAATAGCTATGTGTTAATATGAGAAAAGACTAAAAATATGAAAAAAATTAGGATTATAAAATTTCTCTGAAATTCTTTTGTCTAATCTTTTAATTATTACTAAATATAAAGAAAATATTTAGTGTCAAGTGGGTTTGTATAAATAAATTTGTATCTGAAGCTGGTTGACATCACCAGCTGAGTTATTTGGGAATCAGATTTGTGGTTATTATTGATTTGGAACCCATGCAGCATCTTATTTTGAGACATATAAATTTCCCCACTCTACATTTACAAATAGATTTGTAGATCTGAGTGCAATGGTTAGGAGTCTTGCTTTGGAATCACCCTGACTTCACCCTAGCATAATGTCTGCTTTAGTATTATGGGGATGATTAATATAATTCCTAACACATAGTAAGCTATCAGTTGTTAGCTGGTATACCTGCCATTTCAGTTAAACCTCAGTCAAGTGATCAATATCAGGGAGAAGTAAAAGCATATATGTTTTGCTACTGATAGAAGATAATTTTTGGTGCTTTGCGTGTTTTTTTATTTATTTATTTATTTTGGGAGAGACAGACAGTATGAGTCGGGGAGGGGCAGAGAGAAAGGGAGACAGAGAGAATCTCAAGCAGGCTCTGCACTGCCAGTGTAGAACCCAATGTAGGACTCAAACTCATGAAACCGTGAGATCATTCCTTAAGCCAAAACCAGGAGTTGGACGCTTAACCGACTAAGCCACCCAGTCACCCTACTTTATCTGTGTTTTTTTAAGTAAACTCTAAGGATACAATATCTGGCCTATGTTCAAAAAATAATTATTGAATAAGAGATCTTGAATTTAAATTTATAACTTGGACCTTAGGTGTTTGTCTTAGAGAAGCTGAATTCCAGACAACTTAAAATAACCCCAAACATTTGACCTAGGTATGAGGTGCTTTCAAAAGACCCAAGTGATCAGGAAAAAAGATTTGTCAGCATCATACTGATAAAAAGAGCATTGTAGACTTCTGTTCAGCATGGTAGACTGAGTTCATCTACAAAGACTCTTCCTCCCAAAGATGGAAATCATGGATAGAATATAACCTTTAATAAAAATAATATGTAATACCTGATATAACTTTTAAGTACATAATATAATGTAAGAGAAAGAAAGATAAATCTCCAAATACTCATATGAGGCAAATTATGGCCCTCTGGGATATCTGAACCTAATTTAGTGCTAGGGTTTAATGCCTCTGCTGGGACAGGTACAAACAGGGGGTAGGGATGCAAGGACTTACTTGAAAAAACTAAATAGAAATTTTAAATATGAAAAATATTTTAATTGCTGTATACACACACAACATATGTGCCTACAAATACAGAAGGATTAACATTGAATCAGAATCAGCTGTATAGCAATGTAGTGATGGGTGGACAGATGCTAAGAAAGCGTCTTGAATAAAGTACAGAAAGGAAGAGAGTTGGTAAAATATGGAAGAGCCATGGAGGATTAAATGAGATGCTGAATAGAAGTGTAGTACAAATTCTAAAAGTAGAACTAAGTGGAACAAAGAAAATGCAGTATCAGAAGAAATGAAGGTAGGGGCGCCTGGGTGGCGCAGTCGGTTAAGCGTCCGACTTCAGCCAGGTCACGATCTCACGGTCCGTGAGTTCGAGCCCCGCGTCGGGCTCTGGGCTGATGGCTCAGAGCCTGGAGCCTGTTTCCGATTCTGTGTCTCCCTCTCTCTCTGCCCCTCCCCCGTTCATGCTCTGTCTCTCTCTGTCCCAAAAATAAAATAAAAACGTTGAAAAAAAAAATTAAAAAAAAAAAATTGAAAATGTCAATACTAACTGCAATTTTTTAAAAACTGGGAA